TATTGTTAAAGCAGAGTATTTAAAATAGATGTACCATTGGGTGTGTGCCATGCCAATGTAATGCTTCAACTCTGAATGATTTCACACATCCTTGAGACGTGGATCCGTTTCCTGTAATTGCTTGTGAATCTCAGGAGGAACTGTCTGACATTTTCCGCAAGCCAGCGGTAGTTGTGCATGCAGAGTGAGCGGAGTGTGAGAGTTGCGATGAGAGCGTAATCGTGGTGTGAAGAAGTGGGCGGCTTGGCTTGCGGTAAATGCCCGACGTTCTGTGTTAATCTAACACTGCAGCATGTTTTCATGTTGCGGAACACTGACGCAATCTCCCGCACGCAGGAAAACTCGTGCGGCTTGGCCCGTCGTCGTAAATCAACGAACACACCCGACTCGGCACTTGCGCCTTCCCCCTACTCATGCTCTCTTTTGGTATATACTGCCCCTGGTTGTTGCCGTGGGAACAGCGTTGGAACCGCTGCTTGTTCCACGGCAATAAACAGGAGACTGGAGTCGGTATTCGGCATGAAAACATGTTGCAGGTATTGCGTCGCACTTCAAGAATCTTCAAGAGCGTTTGTGCGATGTTGATGCAAACGTAGGTGGGTATCACAGGAGAGTTCCACCGTTCTAGAACAGAATAGTATCGTGATGCCGAGATGGAAAACCGATTGTTCGGTTCGTATAAAAAAAAACTAGCGTTGAACGATGGTGTTGCTATAAAATGTATTCAGTAGTGCATTGTGTCTTCCAATTTCGATTTCCTGATCATGATTATTACGTATACGCCCTGGCATCTTTCTTTTATTAATCTTATTCGTGTTGTTTGAGAAGCGAGCAAAGGTTCAGAAAGGTTTGTTGTGCCTCCGACTTGCCTTGTACTTGCCATACACTGAACCTTATGCATGACTTGCCTGCCAAAGAGGAATTTAGCTTTAAGATTTCTCGAGCACTTGTAGCATCTGAGAAAGAATGCTAGCATGTGCCGATGCTAGACAATATTTTGAATCCAAGTCAATCGTGTCTGATATGTGAATACATACGTTGAATCGGGGAAAAAATCAAAGAATGTTTGAGCCTTACTGAGAAAATAGTGTGTATGCCTTTCATGACACTAACGTTTTGCATAGCAGTACAGCTTGGAAACAAATTATTGTAACTTCTGTAGGTCCACGTGGTTCTCAAGACCCTGGGCCATGTTTGCCTGCTCTTACCTTTGCCTCATTCAATTCTAGGACCAATTCCAGCAGGCTGCGCCATTAAGGGGCGGAATGGGGATGTACCTGCTACAGAAAATGGGCTGGAAACAGGGTGAAGGACTTGGCAAGAACAAGAGTGGGAACCTAGAACCATTAGTGCTGGATGTTAAGACCGACCGAAGAGGTGTGATTTAATTCTGCATACAGCCAGTAGTAATTATTTTATATGATAAAATGGAATTAGGCGACATTATTCCAATATACGCATCAATAACATCTGTGCGTATGTCACATGAACACAGATTGCTAGTGCATTCACATGTACCATGGCTTCACGTACATATTGGCTACGATGAGTATCAGTACCAGTATGACTATATGTAAACCTGTTCGTGGTACTGATGCTCATATTCAGAACTTTTGCTGTTTTTAGTATGGCACTGTTAGATTTCAACATAAATCTAACATCGTAATAGCATGTTTAACTTAATAATTCTCTCTTTGCAAATCGTTAGGTTTGGTGGCACAGGAGGAGTCGGGTAGAAAGCATGGCAAGGCGTTCACCCCACCTGTACATTATGACTTGTCAGGTAAGCCCACTTACCTGAGTGTGAGAATAAATCCAATTTTCCATTTCGACTGCACATGCTTGCTAACCCCGTTTCGTAGCCAGGTTATAGATTTCTCTCAAGTCCTCGCTATGATGTAATAACATTGGGTAGAAAGCTGTTAAATTGACAATTTTCTCTTAAAATTAAACATTCCATGGTGACACTGTTATTGTTAACTGTGCAAACAGTTTGAATAAACTGGATTGGTAGTGAAGCAAGCACTGTTTAGCTTAAATAGCAAATATTACTAAACTATGATCGGTATTTTGTAGCCAAACAGTTCTAAAATGCATCCCACATTTCGAAATGGTAAATTGGCTTATAAGTGAGCGCAGTTGTTGGTGAGAGCAGCAACGATTTCTGTCATGATGCTATCGGCACGACTAAATTAATGTCTGCACAATTCACGAATGCTGTTATAATCGGATCCATCATTGGAATTACAGGAGTCTGTTGTTTTGGTGTATAGCCTTTATCCGGGATGTGAAAGGGTATGCATTGATTCTAAACGCGATTTGTGTGCTACCTCAGGCAAGCATCCGGTATCAGCACTGACAGAACTCTGCACTAAACGCAAATGGGGACAGCCAACTTGGGTTATGCACTTTGATGGAGGACCAGATCACAATAAAAACTTCCTGTTCAAGGTACAAGCTATTTTTAGATATCTAAAAGAACTCGCCTAAACAATTATCAATGACAGAGTTCCTGAGTGAACTGCTCATACAAGAGACTGATCTACCGGCATTCACCTTTTGAACTTTGCCTGATCTTTTTGATTGTATATGCAACACTGCCTGTTTATTTTATTTGTTTTAGGCACATGAGGTAAGTAATGCCGCTTTCACACTGGGGTTTATCCCGCTTCAGGTCCGGACCTGAAGCGGGATAAACCCCAGTATGAAAGATCGAAACACCCTTAGCCCGAGCTAAAGTTATCCCGCTCTAGGGGGTGGTCAGGTCCGCTTCAGACCCGAGCTAACGTCAGTATGAAAAGGTATCTCGACTTTAGCTCGCTCCTAAATCCCGCCCCCCCCAATTCCACCATTTATACTGGGGGTATCCCAGCATCAGGTCCGGAACCTGAAGCGGATAACCCCAGTGTGAAGGTGAAAAACGCATAGCCGCGAGCTAAAGTGATTCGCACCTCATGCTAGGAGGTGGTCAAGAGTCTGCTGTCAGCACCCGAAGCTAAAACGTCAATATGAAAACGACTTATCCCGACCTAAAGTTATCCCGCTTCAGAAGCGGGCTAAAGTCGTTCGCAGTATGAAAGCGGCATTAGTGATATAATGGCCTATTGGTTAGTGGTAAAGAAGTGTGGCAGCTGGTTGCTAAACAAATTTCCAGTCATAAAACACAGACCTCATCTACAAAGTCATTTACTTCTTCATCACACAACTGCTTCCTCTTCTTTTATGAAACCAATCTAGTTTATGGAATGTGGACGTACAGTAGCATGAATTTACATTATCTACCCACCAATTTGGAATTGTATGATATATGGTGAATGCATGTGAACGTACGTGTTGGCACCTGTTGTAAGAAACATTATTGCCATATTATTAGTCTGACTGTGTTTCCCGCGTGTTATCATAATACTATTAATTATTGTGGAACTACGATGTTTCTGACAACGCCCTGATGACAGAGACATGAAGATTATAGAGACGAATAAAATACTAGTGTGCCTACTGGAGTACTAGGGTACTACTAAGTGTCTACTGGAGACATACTGACAGAGAATTTAGTGAGAGTTTACAGCCGAAGGTGATACATTACTGGTATCGCCGTCATCGTTGCAGGTCGTAGTGAACGGCATCGAATATCAGCCGACCGTAGCAAGCCCAAACAAGAAGCATGCCAAGGCCCAAGCAGGCATGGTGTGTCTGCAGGCGCTGGGACTGCTTCCACGCAACGCGACGTTGCCTGTATGAAGACCACGGGGGAGACTCGCTCGAGGATGCCGCCCATTGTGACGTACAGCCGATATTTGCGAGCATCATTTGTTGATTCTAATAACAACCGAGATTGCAGGGGGATGGAACCTCTAACACACGAGGCAATAGTGCCCGTCTTAAAGTCAGCAAGACACGAGTGGAATTTTGGTGTGAATGCTAGCTGACTCAATTTAGGTGCTCTGAACGTTTAAGCCCAGGAATCATGCACAGCTATATACTAAATCACAATGTAGCATGTGTTTACCGTTGTTCACCAACGACAAGCAGTGTCGTACATGGATGTGCGTACACTGTCCCCAAATATCTGTTGAAGAGCATCATTGCCCTACTAACTCAAATTCCCTGTTGTCGTGAATAACCAACCCCGTGTGGGTGTGTGTATATATCATCAGCTTAAAGTAAAACTGATATACTGTTTCTCAGTCGAGAAACGCGTGTAAACGGTTACCGTTAGTTTCACATCGTGCTCAAATGGAACATTGAACACTGTGAGGTCAGTGTATTTCCATAGGTGCCCCTGATAGTCAGTAATGTACTCATAGTGTGTATAGATACATAAATGTTTGTAAAGCCTTTGCTCGTCCTATCATTTTTATATAATATTCTAGTGTCTTGCTTTGTTTATACATTTTATGAATTCTAAGAATCTATTTGTGGTAAATATTTCAGCATTATGTGACGTTGGTGAATATTGACGAAATTGTTACAAAAATTATGATTTAAGCCGTGATTACTTTCGGCTGTCATGCACGACTGCAGAATCTTACCAAGTGGAACATAGGAAGAGAGAACTAGAAAGAGAACGTGGAGCAGTTTGATGTGATAATTTAATAAACGCACACTACGTGTTCCCAGGCTCAAGAAACAAATGCAGAGGCACATACGCATAGTTTCTTCTGTTGATTTCCTATCATGTAACATGCAATACGTGTTATCGGTAGACTATAATTTGACGTGATATTAGCAGGTGTGACATTAAAGATATCTCTACTATGTCACTGCTCGTATTGTTCGTTGATTCGCGTTAAAGAAAGGAACGTTTATGTTCGAAATAGTTGCTCAAGTATGCAGTAAATATAATCTTGATTCTGTCAGTTGAACAGAATTTATATTTGATGTAATGATGGTATTATTTGGTTTTCATATGACTTATTGAGGCATGAAGGTACTTGGGACATTAAAAAGACATTAATTAATAGGCACGAATGAATGCACTTACGGCATAAGAAAATGTGTTTAAGTTAAAAAGCATTATATTCTTTCATTTCGACAGTCATACCAGTTATCTGCATTAGCTAACAAATTTTTACACACATGTAAATATAATTCTATAAATGCGCTAAAATAGTCTGGTATTAAGTACAACTGTGCATCATTTTGCAGATTATATGTTGAATCTGATTGCCTCCAACGTCAGTGGTAGAAAAAAGGTAGTTGTCGCTGAATGTAAATATGTACATTCCTGAAACTCCATGAGCCATATAACTATTACGTAAACCTATGACACCAACCAAATTCCTAGCTCCACATATGTAGCCCTTCTCTCCGTACACCTATAGCACAGCAAAGGGCTTCATAGACAGAGACAGGAGTGAACAAAGTTGTTTTCACTCACTTCTGCCAGAGGTGCAGACAAACCTTTCCTTCTCGTATTACAGCACCATTAAACAGCAAAACTGTATCTAAATAACAAAATGGCTTTCGTCCAGCAACCCGTGTCCAACTCGCGCCAAATCTGAACATTCTTCAACAATTTCAAAGACCCGTTCCAGCTCGACAACATACAAACGTTCGACCGTTCGCTATCATGACAGTAATATTAGTTGACCGAGAAATGAAGACGAGCACCTAGGGCGCTGGCAGCATCTATACGTGCGTGACCTCGGCCATGTGTCCCACACGCGACTCTCTTGCGAGAACACACATAGCCATGCTTATATTTGCATCCACTGTTCTCTACTACAATTATAAAGACGCATGAACAGTATAGAAACTTGCAAAACCGTTCTGCTGCCTCTTCCAGCTATCGAGCGGAATAGCCGGTCGAATTATACCTACATCAGAATTGATCGTTTCAAACGCATCGGAAGAGCGGTGGCTCTTGGAACGTCTGCTATATATATATATATATATATATATATATATTGTAACTCGCAAATCAAACGAACAGACACGGTGTTCCGATGCGACGAGGAGCACGCACATACACATTTCATCAACTCTCTACACTACAGCTGTCACGCGGATAGACTCCGGCCTCATCTCCTCACTTCCTTAACAGATACGACTGTTACTAAAGCGAAGGGACAGGTAAGCAATGTGTCACAAACAATCAGAAATACGTACGTGCCCCAACGGTCTTCGACAACCGACCGCACACTCGGTATACGTTGGGCAATTCCGTACCTACATCCAACGTTAGATGAAGAGTAGGATACTGAGAGACGCATTTTATATAATCCACTTCTGGTCAGATGTAGGTAGAGAATGAGTCAATGTATGTCGTAGCTGTGGCATTTGAAGAGATGAGAGGTCAGCTACTAGAGGACACACCCAGCTAGAGATTAATGCACAAGGACTACCAATATTAGAACCATCACTACTCTCTAGGTCACTACAATATACACTAGATATCCATACCATATCTATGGACAGTTGTCTCGTAAGTCTAGATAAGAGTGGGCGGGCATAGACCTAGCCGAAGAACTATTCTAGAAGGTCCCTAGGGGTACGGGAGGTTCCACTATTGCTGGTGTTAAGTATGTAGGTGAAAGAAGAACAATACTACATACTCAAGCCTGTGGCATGACACACAGGCTGAAGGCAACCACTGGCAGTGGAATGTCAGAAGTTAGCCCCCCCCACGCTCACGCGGCAGCACATCTAGATATCTAACGGCGTTATATAACGTGGTCATAATACAGATGTGCTGTAGCGTGAGTGTGGTGGACTGACTTGATCCTGCTGTCAGTGAAGGCAACAACTGCTGCTATAACAGAAGATCGGAAGTAAGTGCTGTCAGTGTGATGTTCAGTAAACCACAAGTAAAAATAGCACAAGAATAAGTGCTAAACGTGGCTACTAGTAATATTAACTATTACAACTACTAGTAAAAATATTCTGTGAGCAAATATGTTTTAAAAGCAAGAACGCAGTTTTTACAGCTAAATTGCAGCAATAACATAGTTACACGTATCTGGCATCATTTTTACAAAATAATAAAACGGTACACGACTCTATATTCAATTGCACAACGTCTCCAGAAACTTGCACAATAGAGATACATCTTTTCGCTGTTGCCACCATTACAACCATTTAATGAATTTTCCGCATAGGTTTTGGGGTAATAGAGCATGACACTGAAATTCCACAAAAAACACGTTTAAATCCATAGAAACATACTAGATGGGCTACCTAGTATATTATTTATATGATAAAATCTGTCACAGACTTATGAGTATTCTCCCTGTCATAGCTTTCAGTCACACTAAGTGCTGTACAAATTAATTAAAGGTCAACAATTATTGTATCCACATCCACTATATAACATGTTACGTTCCACATAAAATCTCGTGCACCTCATTTTCTCATGCATAGAGCGTGCTATAGGAAACTTCTCTGCTATGACCACGACAACTTTTGCCCCCCCCCCTATTGGCTATATATCATGACAACTCGTATGAACGGCCACCCAGCTTCGTGTAAACAACGCTGCACGTGTGACACGCTGGTTCTCTCAGCGCCCCGGACGAAATGCCAACGTATGATCCAGCGACGGACTCTCTCGGTCGCGTTCTCTTCCGGACTGCCTACTGACGTGGCCTTTTGCTGGAGCGAGAGGAGGCACTGCTGGAGGAAGACGAGGAGGAAGAAGAGGACGAAGAAGAGGAGCGGCTAGAGCGGCTTCCTCCTGGTTGATAGGCATGGTTGTCCGTTCCTCTCCGATCACTCACCCTGGAGCTTAGGTAACTCGGTGCCTCTATCGCTGAAACAATAAGAGGAGAAAAACACTCTGAATGCGAATTCGTGAATCGCGAGACATGCGGCGACAACTGAAGGATCTTAGCAGCTGATGAAGATCATCTCCACGTAGATACAACGTCCTCATTCCTCAATGTCATGAAGAAATCATGCTAGTGCTGAACTGCTACTTTTCACTTCAAGGGGAATAATTTCCTTGTTATACCTGATGGTGATAGACTTACCAGGATAGACAGCAGGGGATACTTCCCATTATACCTGATGGTGATAGACTTACCAGGATAGACAGCAGGGGGGATACTTCCCATTATACCTGATGGTAATAGACTTACCAGGATAGACAGCAGGGGGGTACCTCCCATTATACCTGATGGTGATAGACTTACCGGGATAGACAGCAGGGGGATACCTCCCATTATACCTGATGGTGATAGACTTACCGGGATAGACAGCAGGAGGGATACTTCCCATTATACCTGATGGTGATAGACCTACCAGGATAGACAGCCGGGGGATACCTCCCGTAATACCTGATGGTGATAGACTTACCGGGATAGACAGCAGGGGGGATACCTCCCGTAATACCTGATGGTGATAGACTTACCAGGATAGACAGCAGGAGGATACTTCCCATTACACCTGATGGTGATAGACTTACCGGGATAGACAGCAGGGGGATATCTCCCTGGGTAGGCCTGGTGTTGGTACAGCGTGTCGATGTTGTACAGATTGTCGTCACCCTCGTCTTCGTAGTAGCTGGCGACGCTGCGCGCGTGCGTGGAGGGCGGCACGCTGACGATGTACGCCGGGTGACCGTAGCTGAAGTTGTCGGGAGCGCCGACATCGCGCATGCTGCCCGTCGACTTCATCGTCTCCAGCTGCATGGCCTTCTGCTTCTCCTTCCTCTCCTTCCTGTATGACCTGGAGACGAGTCACGAGAAACAAGCTTATAGCAGGGTTCATAGTAGTAAGACACATGTTGAAATAAGGACTTATAAGACCTTTTCTGGAGGCCAAAATAAGACTTTTTTACGCGATTTCTGATAGATCGTCGACTATTAAAGTACACTAATAATATTTATATACACAATTGCACAGCAGATTTAATTATTCCGTATTATATATACAACAATTCTTATTCTAAGTCGAGAACAGTTTATAAAACTTAGGTCCTTTGGCAAAAAATAAGGACTATTAAGTACTTTTCTAAGATTTCACCAAAAATAAGTACTAATAAGGGCCCTTATTTTATTTTTGGTAAAATAAGTACTTATAAGACTTTGGAAGACCCGCTACGAACCCTGTATAGACATTCACGTAGGCAATCCGCGTACCTGTTTGATGAGATTGATAGGCAGGCAATATACACAATCAGTATCGCGCTAGGACATTCTAAAAACAATTCTTAGTAACGGACGTGCTGCAAAGTTAGAATTTCGACATGCACGTACACGTACAAACTGGGTGAGCTTGACCAACCCTGGTATCAAAAACGCGACAGGGCATGGTTATCTCGTTCAGCCGTATAGGGCTTCGTCAATGGTTAAACCATAGGGTTTCAGTCCTGTACCGAGACTTCAAATAATGCTTCATCTGCTTCATAACATCATTATCATCTTCACATCGTTAATTACCATCATTATTAGCCATCATCATTCATCATCATTAGTCACTTAAGCGTCTGCACCATCGCCACGGTTACCTATAGCATATCATCCAGATGAGGAAGGCGATGATGATGATGAGGAGGACGCCGCCTACGATGCCCCCGATGATGTAGGCGGTGAGCACCTTCTTCTGTTCGACGGTCTCCTGGCAGCGCAGGCCTGAGAAGCTGCCCGTGCAGTCACAGCGAGCGGAGACGCGCGCCACGCCGGCCGTCGCGTACTGCGTCGTCGTGCAGACGCCGTCGTTAGCGCAGTAGTCCGTGCAGATGTCTGCAGGAGCGAGAGAGAGAGAACATGTACAGTGTGGAGAGAGAGAGAGAGAGAGAGAGAGAGAGAGAGAGAGAGAGAGAGAGAGAGAGAGAGAGAGAGAGAGAGAGAGAGAGAGAGAGAGAGAGAGAGAGAGAGAGAGAGAGAGAGAGAGAGAGAGAGAGAGAGAGAGAGAGAGAGAGAGAGAGAGAGAGAGAGAGAGAGA